AGAGAGAGAGAGAAAGTCATCTCTCAGAATAAATCAATCGCCTTCCTTCAGCCAAGTGAAAAATATGAAGTCGGCCCATGCGGTTCAATCTAATCGCACAGTTTCGACCCATTCTACGTCCATTCAGAATTACAACATCCAAGCATGAATGAACTCGTTTCACGTCGATCACTCCGCGCTTGCTGTTGCATTCCCTCCCGTCCCCCCCTCTTGGCCTCGCCTCCTCTCCCGTCTCCACTCTCCTGCCGGCTCGTTCAGTCTCTCTCTCTCTCTCTCTCTTTTTCTCTCTCTCCTCTTTCTCTCGTTTTCGCTATATACTGAATAAACAGTTGATTCGCGTGCACAAAGACCGCGATTCTTCCTCCACCCCCGCTTGTTTTTTCGCTCTCGTCGCGCGCTTCCGGTCGTCGCATGCAAACGCGACGGCACTTCCACCGGCAATAATTAATCGAATCGTTGTCATTCTGCGCGATCAGGTGCCACCCACATTTGTCTCCCCCTCCCCCTTCCCCGGTTGGACGCTATTTTAAAGCCGCAGCTGGTCACAACGACGGCCTGTGAATGGAACCACGTTGCGCATTTGCGGAATTGCATTCCGATGCGTCTATCCTGCGAAATCGTCCAACAACAACGACGACGACGACGACGACGACGACGACAGACATCTTCTGTTTTGCCGCAATGCAGCTGTATGGCGAACGCGCGCGGTCTCGAGTTTATTCGATCGTTTCGGTCGCGTCTCGAGATCCAAGAATGCTCAAGCTACTTCGACGCTATACACCGAAAACGTCGATACCCTCTCGTCGATATCGAGTGCATCTTTCCAAGCGGTTTCTCAAATAGAGAACAAGACGCTGTAAACATTCTTGTGGATACAAATAATCTCCAAATGTATTCTTTTATGCGACTAAAAAAAAAAGAAAAAGAAAAAGAAAATATAATCCGGACAATATCGGAAATGTATGAAGAAGCCTTTGCGGAAGAAGGACTCGGAGGACCCTTTAGGTCGAGGCGGGTACAATTTATACAATTCGAGTATTCGTCATCAATGATTGAGGCTTAAGAGTTTCTCGCCGACAACAGACGAAGGGACGGATTCCCGGGCATCAAGTGCCAATTAGCTCGCGGTTACGGTTTGATTTTAGGAAATCGTCGTTAATTGGTCGGGATTGCGGTGCTTCGCGAAACTTTGTGACCAAACGAGACAAAAGCCGCGAAGTCCTTCCTAATATCTGTCAATTCCGCGACCGCGGGAGAAAGGAGGCGGAGCATCTTTGTACCTTGGAGAATGTTTGATAAAGGCTCTCTCTCCCTGGACAAAAAGAAAGAGACCGAGCGAGCGGAATTTCTTTCCGGAGAGAATCGACTCTTCGATGTAATTAGCGGGATTATTATTGCCCCGCCACATCAACTACTAACCAATCCTAAATACCACCGGACAATTTTTTTTTTGCAACCTTTGGCGCGCGAGCTATTAAATTCGCGTAACCGCAGCTCCAAAAGGCAACGTGTAGTGGAAAAAAAAAAACAAAATTGCCTACGTTGTTTTTAATTAATAAATGTGTGCGGGAAACTTGTTAATTATGTATTACAATTACGTCGATCGTCAATATATCGAATGCGAGATTTTTTTTTATCGGCGATGACGTCGCGCGAATTGGTGGTTTGATGTGCGCGAGCCACTGGCGGAGATTCGCAAGATTCGAAAATCTATAAATTCGTGAAAAAAATTGTTTGTAAATTTCAAATAAACTCGCAGGGCGACAAAAAGAGAAGACGCGCTTCGTGTGTTTGTGTTATTATATTTTATTACTTCGTTTATTATTATTATATATTATTGGTTCATGTTTATATTGTGCGAAACATAAAAGCATTATCGCGGAGAGGCGAGAAACTTGATATACGCGATGATAATTATTTCTTATTTGACAACAAAAGATAAATTTACATTGAGTTTTTAAGTAAACATCAAGGTGATAAAAATGAGAACAACAGAGGAGATTGTAAAAAGATTGTACGTCGCGCGAAACACAGAAATGTATTAGAAGCTACGGAAGTCTCAGAAGTAAACAGCGTTAAGAGAAAGAAACGATAAGAGAACACAAACCTCGATAAGAAAAATATACGGTATTTCAGTCGAGCATGCTCGGATAATGTGACAACGTAAGAGCAAAAATGAGCTCTAACGAGCAAGAACAAAAGACACGGCGAATCCTGGAAAAAAAAAAAAAAAAAAAAAAAATGAAAATTTGGCATTTCAGCTATTCGACGAAAAAGTTGAAAAAAAAAAACGGAAGAAGAAAGAAGAATAAGGAAAGAAGAGAGAAAACAAAAGAAACATGAGAGGAGACAAAAGATGCGAGGACCTCGTCGAACTGCCATAGATAGACGCACGAGGAGATCGGAAAGACTCTCTTTGGCGACAAGGACGGCAGCGCGAACGACGCGCGCGACGAGGAAGGGGTGGCGGAAGAGGGTGGCGAAGTGCCGAGGGATAGGGAATCGGCGTTTGGTTGAGGGGGTTGGGCGAGGGTTCGGTCGCCATGGCGACAAGCAGCCCCCGGGACCCTCGCTGCTCGTTGCCGGGGTTGGTCGAAAAGGGTGGCCCAGGGCGTCCGCCGGGCAGGTTAGGCTGGGCACGCAGCCCGAATGTCACTCGGCACACAAGGGGACACAAGGATGTCCTTCGGACGCGATGGGGAGCAGAGCGAATGCGACGAAGAGGGTGGCGGTGGCGGCGGCGGCGGCGGCGGCGGCGCTGGTGGCGGCGGCGGGAGAAAGAGGAAAACGAGGAGGAAGAGGAACAGGAGGATGAGGAGGAGGAGGTGGTAGTGACGGCGGCGGCGGGGAGACCACGGCGGCCCAAGATGGCCGACGACGCGACACCCACCATGTCAATAACACCGTTCTTCGGTGCAAACCGACCCCTTCCCGCGACCCGCTCTCCATTTCTGGCTCCCTCGCGCACTACCGTTGCACCCCCCTCGTCGTCCTCCTCCTCCGTCACCCGCCCCTATAACCGACTTTCGTAACCATCGTCGAGCGTCGACGATGCGCGTCGAGAAACGAGATATCTCGCCACCGTTTCCCCGGCTTCTTGCCTCCGTCGGTAATTAACGCGACCTCCCTGCCGCCGGAAAAGTGTAAAGGGACGCCCGGCAGACGGGGTGGCGCGCAAAAGCCCGGGATGACAGCGGGGACGACGGCGGGGACTGTTGCGAGCGAGGGCGTAATTCCGTTAAGTGTCTTCGTAAACTTCGTTAGCTGCATTTCCCGACATTACCCACCCTACCTACCGCGCTGCCGCGCTGCCGCGCAACCCCCCGATACGGCCTTCGCGGGGGGCGGAATATGGGGTCGCGACGACGGCAACGGCTGCATGGTCGGTAATGTTACCGCCGATAGGTCGCGTCGATGGTCTTTCGGGGTTGCGTAATGGACGGGAGTCGGGCGGAAATATATTCCATCGCACGCTTCAACGCGCCTCGTGCGCCATTATATAATATCGCGCCAACAGAGCTAGAGAATACTTGTTGCAATTGCAAAATGTCCACGTAGCGAGAAAAAACGTGTTAAAATTACAGTTTTGTGAACGAATTAACATTTTCTTTCAATTCTCTCTTTTCAGCCGCTAAGCGAAAATAAAAAAAAGGTTCGCTGTCGTACGGCCAGTCAAGAAAAATTGGTCGAATCTGAAGTTTTTGTTTCGCAAAACGTTTTTTGTTGGCAAAACAACCATCTCAAGAGGCTTGAAAAAATATTTCTTGCTATTCCAGCAAGTCGTTTTTTTTTCCGCGATACACTCTACGTTCGTATGTGTTATTTTTGTTGTTGTTGCAATTAACTGCTTTCCGGGAAATATATATTATGAATGGCCCACGCGCGCGATTACAGCAAAAATTTGCACGCAACAGCGCACACTTGCAAAATTGGACCAATCAAAGAGTAAATAATTCCGTTATTGAATTACAAACGGTAGAGACCGACGCACTCCATCACGCAGAGACGCGCTATCAGTCAACGCGCGCGCGCGCGATATTATTTCGAGAGCTCATGAATAATGGACAGCATATATTAGTGTTGCAAATGTAACATTAGTTACATTCAAATTCGAAGATAATGATAATCATTAACCATAATTTACAAATAATATACGAGTTGATTGTGCGTGGATGCGCGCAGTAATTTCTACCCGCGTACGAAATCCGCGCGCGTGCGGTTGCATGCACGCTAACGAACCGAAAACTGTAGACCGGCGTTGCGACGCACCATTAAATCACTTTTGCAACCATTATGCTCCCCACCCCTTTTCCCTCCCCTCCTTCCCGACAATCAATCGCAAAATATCCATTACGGGCCGAGGCGCGCGTTAACAAATCCGGAAGTGTATTTTTCTTCGCGATTTCACCGCGATTTTTTTTTTTTTTTTTTTTGGTTTTCATTTGCGCGCGCGCCGTATAATTTGACGAAAAAACGTGCTTTTTTAAGATTTGAAACAAAACAAAAAAAATTGTTTTACTCACGTACTGAAATGTATTATTGCAAAAATGTTGAAAATTCTCACAGCGCGCGATATATTCCTTCCGTTCGGTGATAAAGAAGCGCGCGATACACACAGGGCAGATGTTATATAGTAAATCAGAGCGGGCGCTGTGTTCTGTATATTAGATATAATAACTGCCGCGGGTCTTCACGCTCGAACGATTCGAATTATGTTACATAATATTCGCTTACTTGCTCGTCGAGTATTGCCACGTACAATAGGGGCAGACACCTGGAACATTCGCGCAACGTTTTCGATCTATATCCGAGATATATACAATGTATCCACTAAACCATGTAAAAACTACGGGAGGAAAAATCTTTCTCTTCCAAATAACTTCGAAACGTTTCTCTATTAAAAAGTGCGTCATCGTAACGCGCGTGTTTTAATAAAAACAATTTAAAAAAAACACACACAAAAACAACAAATAAATAAAATTCTTAGCGAGCGCGATATAAAATTTTTTAAACCGACCGAGACGAGAGTGACATTTCGACGAAAACTAACGGAAGAAACACAGTTTTTCTCGATTATCAACTCACCCACGTCCATTTCGTTGTTCTGCAGCTTTGTCTCTCTCTCAAGTTTCTCTGAAACACAGAAACGACATTTTGTTTAAAAAAACCTCGTGAAAAAAATGTTCCACAAACGCTGTTTTTCACAAATGTAATTTTATAATTCTAAATTTCTCTCGACAAAAGACCGTCGTTAGATAAAATCATATAAGCGCGTTATAAAATGCAATCACACGTTGCGTCGTGCTAACAAGTGCGACAAATTTCGAGGGTGTGTGTATTTGTGTGTGTGTCGATTTGTTTTCTCGGTTGAAAAGTTGCGCGAGGAAAAGAGAAGTCAACTCGTCGATTCCGTGATATTTATATTACACCGCCGAAAATAATTCGATTAAACCGGGTCGCGATGCTTGCGAGAAGAGAGGTGGAACGCCGGTCGCGCGGAGAGGAAATGAAAATTACCGCGCGCGAAGCAACGCGCGCGCGGCCGACGCGAAAAAAGGAAATAAAGACGAAGAAAAAAATCTCCCGAGGGTAACGCGGACCGCGTTGAAAAGATCCTCCGCTAATAGGCATTATATTTTTCGTTCCGTGCATTACACGGTTCTTGTACGAAGAGAGAGAGAGCCAGTCTCGGATTATATGGGCCTGTCAGAGCGCGCGGTCTAATAACTGGTCTAAGGCCCGCCCCGCATCTTGATACCGGGAAAAGGACCCTTTCTTATACAATGTGCGCATTAAATACTAATCGTAATGCGGCGCGAGCGCGGATCGTGATATAATGGCAACGAGCGAGCGAGAGTTCGTGTGTACATGGCAGCTTTAAAGGGTGCCGACGTATAAAAAAAGAGAAAAAAAGAAAGAAAGAGAGAAGAAAAATATCCGAAGAGACGTCGATGTGCAATCAATTTCACAAAAGACTCTTGTATCATTTCTTTAAAGTACGATCTGATGATTCTTATAAGAATTTACTTCCGCGAGATTCTCGATAAGCTTCTTTTTTTTATTATTTTCATCTGTTTTACATTTGGGAACAAAGCAACGCAAAAACTTGTTACAGAAACAGTAGCCGGCTGCGTTTTGCCGCACGTCGATCCTTCCACCGAGCATGAGAACAAAAAAGTCAGACACGGTGCAATCCGGTTCTCGCGGTGCACGTTATTTAAGACGGAGGACTTCGTTCCGGCGCGTCTTCGTGTTTCGCGATCGCAACCAGGTCATCGGCCATTTTCTGTCGCCGCATGAGCGATCCCTCGCGCCCCCGGCGCGGCCGGTTGCCGCAATTTCCTCCCTTTCTCATCCCGAACTCGCTGCTCTCCCTCCAAAAGGGGTTGCTCGGGGTGATACCGCTCTCCGGTAAGGGGCCGCTGCTGCTGCACAGAGGGTTCATCTCTCATGCGAGGCGGGTTGGTGGCACGGAATTTCACCCCCGTGGGGTCGACCGCGGAGAGAGAGATATCCCGAGATATTATCCCTCGGGAAGCCGTGTAATGAAACCGTTCCGGCACCCCCGTGGCATTATTCCCTCGCCCGATATAGCCATTCAGCGTAAGAACATATAGGTGTGCGGGAAGGGTCGCAGCTGCATGACGGCGTCGATATATACGCCCCCTCTTTCATGCGTGTCGTCCCTTAACGGAGGATAAACACAGGAGAGAAAGAGCCGACGTCGACAACGAGACAGCATCATTAAGAAATCCCCGAGCTCCGCCACGCGAGAGCCCTTTTTACCCTTTTCAGCGTCGGCCGGTCGCCATTTTCCACCGATTCCTCGCGAAGGGGTACCGCAAAATGAATGCGCGAATCGATGTCGCGCGTTCACGAAAGAATCTCCTCCGGCCGCGCATACTTCTCTCGTGCGCAATTACGCGAAGTCAATAAGATAAACAGAATGTAGAATAAAAAAAATAAAAAAAAAACAAACATATACAAAATTATCGTACGCAATCGCACGCACAGAACTCGCGGAAGAAAAAGAGCGAGTATAACTGCAAAAACAATATTAAGACGTTGTGATTTTTTATGTTGTCGGAATGTCAAGTTGAGAATCGATGTTTCGATCGGTTTTCATTTAACGAGAACGGGATTAGCGGGGAAGAGAGAATATAACGCATCGCGAGCATCGTTATTAGGAAATCCGGCGTAATTGCTTTATCCTCTCGTACATCTCGTATCAGCGTTTTTCGATCTTCTCCATGTTCGCCAGAAACAGGATAACGAGATATCGCATGTCACGGAAGATGGTATTTTTTTTTGGTTTCTTTTTTTTTTTTTTTTTAAATATATCGACAGTGTACGCAACGTACATCGTGCGTGCAGGTTGTGAAATACATGTCGTGTGCGTTAAATAATAAAAACAAAACGAAAGAAAAAAACACCGATAATTTATAAATTAATTTTTCTTGTCAATTTAAACGGCTCTTGAAAAATAACACAATTAACAACAATAAATACGTATATTTGATACAATTTCATACGCAGACCTCTCTTCGTTTGACGATGCAAATAAAAACTCTTTGGTTTTTACCAGTTTTATGTAAAAAAAAAAAAACAAAAAAAAAAGGGAAGAACAATCTAAAACTTTCTTATTCGCGAATGCTCTTTCTTTTGAGAACGCGCGGAAATCGCGGATGAGAACGCAACATCGTATTCTCTGTTGAGCTCTTTACGCGGGAACATGTGCGTTATGTAAAACACTTCTCATTTACATGCAATTTTTCTACGATTCACTCGCATCCCGCGAGTTTCGCGTTTGTACTTTCGCGTATCTTTCTTTCGCTACTTATCCCGCTCGCGCATCATCTCTCTCTCTCTCTCTCTCTCTCTCTCTCTCTCTCTCTCTCTCTCTCTCTCTCTCTCTC